TGGTAATTATACCATTTTTATCATACGGTATCGTATAATTGCCCATCCCTAGCTTTGTTACACTAAAATATTATACCAATTATACGGTATTTTATTAATTATACTATACCAATTATACGGTAATTATACCATTTTTATCATACGGTATCGTATAATTGCCCATCCCTAGCGATGTGACAATTAAATTTAAAGTTTGGCAATAATTGTTAATGTGATTACTAATCTTTAAATATTAATTGTCACGTCAGATTATGGTTTCGAGATTTCGGATGTCGGAATTTTTGTGGTAGGACCTCTATATATCGATTATTAGATAAAAGGATAAATGAGGCTATGGTTATGATCATTTTTGCTTAAATATTGTATAAAAATAGTGTTAAACTAGCAAAATTATTTATAAGGCAAAGAAGTTTCAACAGAGCAGCTCTCTAGAGCTGAACGAATATCTTCCATATTAGTAAATGCCATTAGTAAATGTCTTTCCAATTCGCAGTGCTTTACTTGACATCATAGTGGTTTGTTATAACAATAAGCAACTTTATAGAACAAATATCTTTTCCATATTAGTAAATGTCATGCCAATTCGCAGTGCTTTACTTGCATCATAGTGGTTTGTTATAACAATAAGCAAATTTATACGTAGAACGAATATCTTCTATATTAGTAAATGTCATGCAAATTCGCAGTGCTTTACTTGGCATTATGGTGGTTTATTATAACAATACGCAGCTTTATACAAAGAAAATGAAATTTATTAAATTTAAAAAAATTTTCTCATTTATAATTACTAATTTACAATCGACCATTTATCGATGCTTACATTTCTTATGCTAATGGCGATCAAACCACAGGCTTGAATAACATCGCAATTATTTTGGGCCCTTATATGTAATATTTTTTTTAAGATTAGGTCCTTATATGTAATTATTTTTAATTTAGGCCCGTATTTGTAATTATTTTCACTTTCCGGGCCCTTATTTGTAAATTCCCCTAAATTTTATTTTGCCGGCAAAAGTACAAATTTTTAGGCCCGTGCAGGTCTCTAAATATAGAGTCAAACGGCACTATACTGTAATCTTGCAGTATCATTAATTTCGGACAACCATAAATCTTTGCTGGTTCTTAATCACTCTGATTTGGTTCACAATAGTCATACCATTTTACCATGGCAAAGGCAAAGGTTGCGGTATTACTAACAAATAATTCACCAAGTAGCAATACCTGATTTGAAATATAGACTTTAAATAAAAATCAATAAAATAAATCTAGATTAATATTGGCTCTAAATTTGATACTTATCTTTCCAAAGCATACTCCTTGATCGGTAATATTATAAATCAACTCATTTGTGTCTATTACAATTGCAACATCGCTAAGTCATGGATTATTGTTATATGATGAATCTGCGGTCTTCCTGATGCTAGAGTAAATCGGTACTTTTTGATACCTTTTCAACAAAAAAGGAATTCTTGTAAACCATCGATCAAAATATCTCCATAAAAATTGACCATGACTAGAGCCCATGCCGGGCAAATTGGCATCAGGTATAGATTCCTTATGCAATGATTTCATGCCTATGCTTAAATAGTAATTGACATTTTTGTGCCATATGGTGCCTAAAAAAAATAGGTAATATTTTTACATCAGGCATATATAAAAGGTTCTGGAGATAAGAATTGAGTACTGGTCATTATAGAATAGGGTTGAATATTAGATGTTATTAAGGGTTCAACAGGTCTAGTTTTTCTTTTCTTCGCAATTATTTTCTTGTCTTATGCACGTGATCTTTGGTAATTTCTTTATCTGCTTCTGGGATTTCTACTTCTTCTGCATTACCATCATTTTTCTTTCTTTTTTTAGCGATGCAGAGACAAACATTGTTTGCAATCAAAAATTGAGTATTAAGATATTACTGTTAACGATCATAGATATTATAAGTTATTATATATAATGGTCACAGACGTTATCGGTTATTATATAATGCAATTGTCTACCTTCAATATTGTTTCTGATGAAATTAAATTACATTCAGATAAGTTATCTGCTGGCACTCTATATCTGGTTCAGTTTATAAAGAAATTATGTATTAAATAAAATATGCTTGTGTAAATGGAATCCAAGCAAATGTTCTAAGCCTGATTAGAGAATTTACGACATACTAACGCTAATGACAAATGACCAAGTATGTAAATAGAATAAATATATTAGGGTAGGTTGTTAATTGGTTGGGTTGGTTTGGGTTGACCAATCTTCAACCCACTCCACTAAATTAGACTTACTCCAATGGTTTGCTCCGGGTTGCTCCATAGTACGATATAATAAAAGATGGTTCAAAATCGAAGATTATAACATATATATAATTGAACGTGTTTTAACCAAAATTTTTTTAGGGTGTACATGCATATTTAAACAATGCCTTCAAGACGAAGATCGACACAATTGCATCATTTTAGAATATTCAAGGTGCATATTCTCGAGTATTACATGTTATTGATAATCTCTGCTAATATTCGCTATATTATACTAAAATATTCTTTGGCGAAATTTTGAAGTAAATGAGACTTTTCGAGAAAAAGCGGTTGTTGCTTTGATCTTCACGTTACACCTGACCTTGCATTCTGATTGGCCAGAATCAGAAACTTGGGGAATTAGTAAACGTAATAATATCATCATGAAGGTAATATTGCCTGTAACAATTACTTAATTAATAAGAATTGTTAAACCGTGATACCGATACAGCATCTCATTAGCTTTTCCTTAATGATATTAATGATAGAGATTTTCATTCAACAATATTTTGATTCCATATATGTTGTAAGTGGGAATGGAATTTAGTTAAATTAGGGTTAGGGTTAAGGTGTACATATCAGATATGATAAAATCAACCCCAAAACGGGGGTTTTATATATAAATTCCGAATCCACTTAAATTCCGTTTCCACTTACAACATACGAAAAAGACCACTGTCGTTGGGGTTTTAAATGTACAATGTAAATCAAAATTTATAACAATTAGACTGTTATTTGTGTGTAACATATACTAGGTCGCATTTTGTTACGTAGAAAGATTTTATTATTCTTTTTAGTGTAAGATGTTAAAATCTCGAGAGGCAATTTGAAATATAGCAATTTTCTATAAAATTCCAAATTTGTATCTCCTTTATATAATCTGCATATTAACATATTTAGATACGTGCTGTAGCGGTACGTAGTACAATTTTATTGTTAATAAATTTGATGAACCCCAACACAGTTATAACACAAACATTAGTATAGATATAGATTCTGAAATACGCAGATTATCAACTAAAAAAAAAGGGATCTAAAAAGGAAAAGATGCTAAAATTTCACCAAAATGGCGTGATTCATTCTTATTGATTAATAATCAAGAGAGAAATTTAATATAAATAAGCAACAATTTGGCATTTGTTTTTCTTTAACGGGATTATCTATTCTCGCTTCATACACATCATTCACAAATTCTTTATAATAAAATAATAAAAATGGTTCTCCGCCTTGGTGACGAAGCCCCTAATTTTAAAGCAGAAACTACCCAGGGTGAAATCGATTTTCACAGCTTTATCGGTGATTCTTGGGTTGTCTTGTTCTCTCATCCAGCAGATTTTAGTAAGTTTCACATAACCTAAATAATTAATCTTTATAATTAATTTAAAAAGAATCTGTTTTATTAATTTAAGCAAAATTTTCTTTCACATAGCCCCGGTCTGCACTACAGAACTTGGTGAAGTTGCTCGTCGTAGCAAGGAATTTGAAGAACGTAATACTAAAGTGATTGGTCTTTCTGCTAATGAATTGAAAGACCACCACCAATGGGTGAAAGAGATTAATGAGGTTAACAAAGTTAATCTTGGATTCCCAATTATTGCGGATGCTGACCGTAAAATTTCCACCTTGTACGACATGTTGGATTATCAAGATCCTACTAATGTTGATACCAAGGGCATTCCATTTACCGTCAGAAGTGTTTTTATAATTGATCCAAAAAAGAAAATCAGATTAATGATAACTTATCCTGCTTCAACCGGTAATAATCTTAATTTTAATAATGTTAAATTTGTGAATATCTATCATTAACATAAATAACAATAATTTTAATAATCTTAATCATTTTAATAATTTTATTAATTTTAGGACGCAACTTTGACGAAATTGTCCGTGTCATTGACTCTCTTCAACTTGGTGACAAGCACCGTATTACTACTCCTGCTAACTGGAAGAAAGGCGATGATGTTATTATTCATCCTAGCGTATCTAATGAAGAAGCTGCAAAACTATTTCCTGATTATAAAGCACCATTACCTTATCTTCGTTTAGCCAAATCTCCTTTCTAAAGAATTTATATGCTAATCATACTATAAGTGATATGAATACTATGTTAATACATTTAGCCTACATTTAGTGCTCATTTGTACCTTGTTTTTATTATGCACATATTTACAAAAATAAAAAAAAATTTTTTGTATAATAAAGTCTGCTTCAATAATACTAAATGTAAACTGAAAATGCGATCGGATTATCTTTATATTCTATAATGGTTTAATAATGGTTATAACAATGTCCTGACAATGATTCTATATTAATCAAATGACGTAAGCAATTCATCAAACTTAAATATCATATTACATGATAGTTTGCTAATGATTAAAGTCTCGTATATCATCTTAGTTGATAAATTTTTCCTTCTCTTTTATTTAACACTTTCAAATATTCTGAACTTCTTCCTATTTAATCTCTTTGTTACAATTCTTCATTTTCTTTTTTTCCATTATGTTTCGATCAATAATAGAGACAGAAACCGACTCATCATTATCGCCTCCACCTTCCTCCTCAACGACCGAAGATGATGATGATTCCTCAATTAATTTACGCCAACAACAAAATTTCTCGATTTCCCCATCGTTAACCTGTTCAGCAAGCACTTCTCCTATAATAGAACCCGAAACCACCGTCGATTGTGATGATGATAGCATTCCATCATTGGCACAAAGAGCCTCAGAACTTCATTTCATGGTACAAAAATTAATAAATACTCATTTACCACATCTTCAATCTAAAATTTTAAAACAACAAGATTTTTCGAATGAAGTAGATGACTCTTTTATTTATAAAGGTGTGGGTAGAGAATATCAATATACTTATGACGCGATAAAAAAAATTGTAAATGACTCTTGGATTTATAATCATTTGGATATACCCCCCTATTTTGCTGATATTTATGATACGACTGATGGTTTCCTGGAATGTGGAGTGGATGCTGATGATTTTTTTATCTTCTCGGAATAATTTTTCGGAATAATTTTTTTATTTTTTTTTTATCCTCACGCGTCTACCAACAAGTACGTGCGTACGTACGTACATCATACTGTACGTATAGTACGTACTATACGTACTATCTAGTAGTGTATACGTACGCTCGAATGTACGTAGTATATAGTACGTAACAACAATTATATAGTACGTAACAACAGTTATATAATTACGTAACGGCAATTATATAATCTTAAGGTTTCTCGTAGAACTACCATATGACGTATCCTCAACATATTACGATACGTAATACTCGTTGACTTTTTTATAGGATGTCGAAATATAACATAAGCAATAACATGTTTTTTCTGATATGTAAATTTTAAATTTTATTTTACGTATACTGTATTTGTTAGCTATATATTTTGACTATTAAATTTAATAATTATACAATTATAATTTATTGCCGGTACGAAGGGTGTGTGGCACGGAAAAAAAAACTTGGCATGCCATACTAGAGACCTGCATTGGGTCCCGAAGTCCGGTCCAGCCCGGCAGGGCTTAACAATTAAATTTTATAATTGCGAGCCGGGCTGGGCCAGACTAAATTTAATATAATACAGGTATGACTAAATATACTCTTCAAATATATATAATGATTATCCTATACAATAAAAATGCAATGCAATTAAGAGGTCACTTTAATACCAAAATTCTTTTACTATATATATATGAACTAAAATTTTCTTGCTAACAAGATTGGTTATTATAGATAATATTGTAATTAAAATTTTATTAATAAACAAAAACTCTAAATTTCAGAATCAAAAAAATTTAATTGAATATTTTTATAATATTTAATAAATATAACATATCAAAATTGATAAATTTAAGAATATAAAAAGTTAAAAATTATATAAAGTATTAATATAAAACTTATTTATAGTATTTTAATTTGCATAATCTTGGTTAAATTTTAATCTTAAATTTAGTTTAATTATTATTGTTAAAAGATTACAAAAAAGTTTTTCTAGTACTAAAAACTTAAGTTCATATTATTTTATAATATTTTTTCTTTCAATATGATACTTAAAGCTATATTATAAAACAAATTAAAAAAGGGTATAATGACTTAGTAAAGTAGTTAAGTTGTCACACTCCCAAGTAGTATGTTAGATAGATAAAGGGTTCGAAACTTACTAGCAATAAATTTTAAAAATTCTATTTATATGATTCTACTATCTTCTGTCATCAAAAAATTTTTTAAAAAGATATAAATCGATATATAGCAATAAATCGATATATATCGATTAAAAAATATCGATATATATC